ATCTTCTAGATCATTCCTAGTATCATCTATTACTTTTCTTACCTATTACACACACACACACACACACACACACACACACACACACACACGGCACTTAACCTTGACCCCTCTTCCCTTGCCACATGCAATTTACTTTTTTATTCTTCTTTGACCAAAATTCCTAGAGTCATCATTCATGATCTCTATCTCTAGTTCTTTGTTCCTATTCTCTGTCCCTTTAAAACATTATTATGAAATTAAACTAAATATTATATTAAAAAGTGGAGCCTAGTGAAGATTGATGTCTCCAGCACACATAATCCTTTCTCCTCCCTCTGCTAACCAGCCAGGACCTGGCCCGTTTGTCCTTGCAGATTCAGAGCCTGCTTCGTGCCTGAACAGGGAAGCCCAGTTTTGATGGGAGAATTGGAGAAATATGTTCTGCACTGTACTACCTCTATGACAACACATCCTCCACCAGCCTATCACAGCCCCTCAAGTGAGAAAGATTAGTGAGTGAGGAAGGCAATTGCTCATCTGCACTCCAGAAAGTAAGGTCTAGGGAGACTGTTTTTTGTGTGTTCTTTTTTTAATTCTAAAAGCAAAGTATTCCCAGTTGCCAGTGTCTTGGGGTCATTCTGCTTTCTGCTTTTGTTGAGCCCTATTTTGACCCCCACCCCCACCTTTGTCCCCCAACAACTCCCTTCCTTAGATCTTGGCTCCAGTGGAAAGCAGAGAAAATCCTAGATTAGGGTCTGATGGCCAAAGGAGGTCTACCAACCCCGGGGAGGGGTGCTCTATTGCAATGAGATACCAGCATGGATTTTATGTGTATGTAAAAACATACATCTGTGATATTTCTGTAAAGGTTGAATTAGTCAATATACAAACTGAGTATTACGGTCTTTATAGAGATTTTTTATAATGGAGATTCTTTAAAAATGGAGCTTGTGAAACTGTCTACCTACATGAAGTTGGATCCTATGTTAAAGCATATATAAAAATTAACTCAAAATGGATCAAAACTCTAAAGTCAGGCCTAAAACTATGACTTTTAGAAGAGAACATAGGGCAAAAAATTCACAACACTGAATTTTTCAGTGATTTCTTGGACATGACACCAAAGACACAGGATACAGAAGAAAAACAGACACATTAGATTTCATAAAAATTAAAAATTTTGTGTACCCCAAACGCATTGTCAACAGAGTATAAAGAGAACCTGCATAATGGGAAAAATATTTGCAAATCATATATACAACAAAGGACTAAAGTCCAGAATATATAGAGAATTCCTAAAAATCAACAGTGAAAACCCAAACAACTCAATTCTCAACAGGGAAAAGGAATTGAATAGACATTTCTCCAGAGAAGACATACAGATTGCCGGTAACCACCTGAAGAGCTGCTCAATGTTACTAATTAAGGAAATGCAGAGCAAAACTACAATGAGATACAATTTCACATCTGCTAGAGTGACTGCTATTGAAAAAAAATTCAGGAAATAACAGGTGTTTTGGTGAGGATGTGTAGAAACGGGAAGCCTTTTGCATTGTTAGCAGTGATGTAAATTGTATAAGTGCTCAAAAAAACCCTGTAAGGTGTCTCCTCAAAAAAATTAAAAATAGAATTACTGTATCGTATTTGTCTGTTTTCCATTATTATTATAAAATACCCTAGGCTGGCACTTCACAAAGAAAAGAGATCCATTCAGGTTAAAGTTTTGGAGGTGAAAAGTTCACCAATAGCACAGCACTGACTCCAAGGAGGGCCTCTTGGCTCATCCCATCCTGGTAGATGACGTCATAGAGAGAAACCTCCCCTGACCACACTACTTACAACACTAACTTCCTCCTCTACCTCGTACTCTCTGTGCTACTTAACCTGCTCTGGGTGCCCTTCCTCACACTATTATCACCTTTAACACACTCTATATGTTATCTGCGTGTCTATTATGGTTATTGCTGATCGTCTACTCCCTCTGCACTTGGATGTCTGATAGACATCCCAAACTGAGCATGTCCAAAGCTAAACTCTTGTCCTCTCCTCACCCCCACAAAACGCTTATCTACCTGCATCCTATCCAGAGCGTGGGCGTCTTTCTCTCTCTGGTTCGCTCTTGTACCTTAAATGCCTAGAACAGGGTTGGGTGTCTAGTATGCACTTAGTAAATATCTACTGATGAACAAATATCTATAGCTAGCTCTGTGTGTCTCTGTGGTGACCATGTTTTCCTTTGGCTGTTGAAAAACTCTTAGTCTCCTTGTGCATTTTTCTTGTGGGGAAAATGCTAAATTATAAGCAGTTAAACAAAGTGAAAGCCATATTAGTCTGCTAGGGCTGACAGAACAAACTACCACAGACACCATGGTTTAACCAACAGAGATTCATTTTCTCATGGTTTGTGGAGGCCAGAAGCTTAAGATCAGGTGCCATTCACAGTTGGATTTTGGTGAGGCATATCTTCCTACCTTGGAGATGGCTATCTACTTGCTGTGAGCTTGCTGGTCTTTCTTCTGTGTGTACATGGAGACAGAGGGCTCTGCTATCTTGTCTTTTTCTTCTTTTTTCAGACAGGGTCTCATGATGTAGTTCGAGTTGGCTTTGAACTCACTCTGTGGCCCAAACTGACCTCAAATTCATGGAGACCTCTCTGCCTCAGCTTCTTGAATGTTGGGATTAGACGTATGTCATCCTGTTCTTATAAGGACACCATTCCTTTTTTTTTTTTTTTTTAAATTATTGTTGGTTCTTTTATGTATGTGGTGCTGGGGACTGAACCAAGGGCCTTGGGCATGCAAGGCAAGAGCTCTACCACTGAGCTACATCCCCGGCCCCAAGGACACCATTCTTATAGGATCAGAAGACCCACCATATGACCTCATCTAGCTTTACCTCCTTAAAGGCCCTGTCTGCAAATAGTTACATCAGGAGATTGGGCTTCAATATTTGGATTGTGTGTGTGGGGGACAATTCAGTCCATAGGTTGTGTTTACTTTTCTGGGTCACAAAGGCTCAGCTAGTGATCTGGGATTTGTATGACTCTCCTCAGTGTCAGAGATCTAGGCTCCCAGTTTCTTGCTCTGCATTTTACGCCACTATTCCCAAGCCGAACTCATACTCTGATATGGCTATGTAGGTCTGTATTCCAGCCTGAAGAAAGGATAAAGGGGAAGTCACCTTCAAGGACACTTCTCATGAGATGTACAAATCAATCACATCTATGTCCCATTGCTTGAGCTCAACTGCAATGGCCACACTTGGCTGCAAAAGAGGGTGGGAAATGTAGTCATTATCCAGGAAGCCTAGTGCTCAGTTACAATCTGGGTTTCTACTGCTATACTTGCAGAAACCTAACCCAACAAATGGAGCATTGCTAGCATATAACCTCAGGAAATCATTTAACATTTTTGAGTCTCTTATGATAACTAGAAGGGAAACTATTCTGTGCCTAGTTCACCCAATAAATACACATTCAGCAGTGCATGCCTGGGAAGCACAAGGTCGTGAGTTCGATTCCTGGTACCGGAAAACAACAACAACAACAAAAAATACACATTCAGTACTAGCTATGAAGCAGCCTCTAGCATAAATATTGAGAACAGAGGGGTGAACATGACAGACACAGTCCCTGCCTCTTAGAGCTGGGGAATAAGTAACTGAACAATAAAAAAAAAATGTCAATTAGGGATGAGGGTAATAAGGAGAAATACAACAGGGTAACGTGATCCTAAGTGCCTGGGTGACTGTATAAATTGAGTGGTGAGGAAATAATAGACAAACAGACATCAAACTGAACAACCGGAAAGTGCCCACTAATAATAGCACTGTTTGTAGCTACTATAACAGAAAAGAAACCAAGTTACTGGGAGGCAGATGACCTCGGGCTGTTCTTGACTTTACCTTCACTTGCTGTGCATTTAAGAGCATCTCACTTGACCGCTCAATTCTCTTTTCTTTTCTAGAAAAGAAAACCATTTCAGCTCCCTTTCTGTTCCTGAGCAATTCAGCCCTAAAACCACTAGGCAGGGTGGAGAAAAGCAGGTGTTGCTTGGAATGGGGCCAAGAGGGTCTTGTCACACAGGTCAGCCTGGTACAGGTACCCCGGCAAGGAGGAAGTGGCATTTGCGTCAGGTGTGGCCTAGTGTGGGTTGCCAGAGCCTGGGCAAAGTGAGAAAGCCCCAGCATGGGCTGTAGGATGGGCAGGACTACTGCATGGGATTGAGGTGACTGCAGACATGGAAGATTTGCAATGTACATGAATTAGTGAAATAAATAAATGTGTTAATAAATCATTAGGTCAAGAAGTCAGTGAAAACGGCAGAGTAAGGACCTCTGAAAAGTCTCTCTAAAAGCAAGAAGAGAACAGCCAAAAATAGCAGGAACCAACTTCACAGGACTCTGGAAATTAACCAGAGGCTTGGAGCAATACGGGGCATGCTTTTTTTTTTTTTTTTTTTCTTTTTTCGAGAATGGCTAAATCTTAGTGAGAACAGCAAGCGTTATCATATTTGAATTCATGCTATTTCTATCACCACCTTTCCAGTTCTGTGGTAGTCAGGATAAGCAACCACCCACAATCACAGAGAAAGCTGGCAACCAGATGGCTGCCGGAAGGAGCTCAGCGGGGCTGCGGGTCCTTCAGAGTATCATTTTCAGAGGATTGTCATTATTTGACTTGTCTTGTCTGGTTATTTCCTGACAGACTCCACTTGCAAAGCTACCTTTATTTATCTTGACTTGGAGTTTACCCAGTGCTGAAAGCTTTATTCCAGAGGTGTTTGTGAGAAACATATCAGGCATAATTTAACTTTGTGATTGCCTGAGATAGTGGATAGCAGTTGGTACAAACAGTAGGCTAACCAGAAGCCTAACAGGAAAGACTTGTGAATTCATAAGGGTTATGAAAACTCTGACCTTCTCTTGGGAATCTAGAAAACCACAGGGATACATGGAGCCATGATTACATCAAGGGCTGTCTACGTGCTTAGGAGAAGCCTGAGAAGACCTTAAGCTCTTACCTCTGCCAGCCCTTGAGGACAGGAAGCGAAGACTAAAGCAGAGTTGTTAGTTGCCTGGCTGAATGTTGACGGCATATACATAGCTCTTGGCAAAGACTGGGAGACCCGGAAGTTCATGGTACTTGAGGTAATCTCTGTCCGATTATTGGCTGACCACTAACTGTAACAAGGAAAGACTTCAGTGACCACACACAACAAAGAATATGAACTTTATGCAATTTGTTCCCAACAGTCATGAAATAAATAACTGCAGTAAGAACACTAGATAGTAACAGCAGCAAATAATAACAAACCCTGGGAAGCAGGGAGAAATTGGATACCCAGAATTGACACACTGGGGCTGTGGGTTTAGCTCAGCGGCACAGCGCCTGCCTGGCAAGCGCAAGGTCGTGAGTTCGATTCTTGGTACTGGAAGAAAAGCGAAAAACAAAAACAAAACAAAACAAAATGAACAGAATTGATATACTATACTACAGTAAATCCCCAACTTAGGAAAATTTGAGTTGCTAACTTTCACAGATATGAATGGATCTTGCATTATGAACATTCAAGGATGCACACAAGAGGATATAGCTCAGCAGCACAGCGCCTGCCTGGCAAGCGCGAGGTCATGAGTTCGATTTCTACGTACCAAAAACCAAACCAAAACAAAACAAGGATGCACACAAATCTCTCAAGTAGCTCATGGGTCTGCCAGACATTGTCACAGTTGTGCTGCTGTGTACTAACTGTATAGTGTGATGGTGGATAGGACAGTGTTCAATCAGAGCCCAGTGTGTCCAGAAGCAAGAGGAAAAGCAGTGGTGATGTGGAGGGGACTGCTAGGAATTACAAAGCAATAATCATGGAAGCAAAAAGAAAAATAAGTTCTTTTGTTGTATTGTACTGTGCCATCATTTTAAGGTAACTATAAAAGTAAAAATAGTTTTGTTACAATATTTTTATGTGTGTTTGGTTTGTGCTTTACATTGTATATTTGTGTCAAAGGTGTTTAAGGCTCACTTTGTTGGACTTACGGGCAAATCCAACTTAGGAAAGTTCTCCTGGAACAGAATTGGTTTGTAAGTTGGGGACTTACTGTACTTAAAATGTCTAGTTTTAACAAAAAGTTTATGATATATAAAAAGAAACAAGAAAATATGACCCCTACACAGGGAAAAAAGTGATTAACACTTTGGTGGGATATGCCTGCAATCCCAGCTACTTGGGAGAGTAAGATAGGGGGATCATAAGTTCAAGTCCAGCCTGGACAACTTAGAATAACTCTGTCTCAAAATTAAGAAAAAGAAATTCAAAAGGACTGGGGATGTAGCTCAGTGGTGAATGCTTATACAGCATGTATAAGGCCCTGGTCCAATCTCTGGTACCCTTTCCCCCAAAAAGTGATTAATGGGCTAATTCCCTGAGGAAGCTGCAGATATGTAATTTAACAGACAAAAACTTTAAATGAACTATTTAGCCAGACATGGTACTGCATTCCTGTAATCCCAGCACTCAAGAGGCTGAGACAGGAGGATCCCTGTGAGTTCAAGGCCAGTCTGAACTACATAGTAAAACCCTGTCTCAAAAAAACACCCCAAACCCAAAAACCAAAAACTGATTATCTAAAATATATTCAGAACTAAAGGAAAAGATGTCTCAAAAATGAAAAAAAAAAGTATGAGAAGAATTTTTTTTTACCAAGTAGAGGTTAATATAAAGATATAAATTATTTTTAAAAGAACCAAAATGGATACCACAGATTTGAAAATTATAGCTGAAATGAAAATCTTATGAAAGGTTCAAAAGCAGATTTCAGAAGTGGAATAAAGAACTAATGAACTTTATGGTCAAATGAGATCATCCAGCTGGAGGGGCAGAAAAAAAAGAAAAATGAACAGAACTTTAGACAGCTGTGGGATGCTCTCAAGTATACAAATGTGTGCACCATAGGAGTCCCGAAGAAGGAAGGGGCAGAAAAAAAATTTGAAAAAACAGTGGCTGAAAACTCCTCAAATCTGATGAAAAACTATAATCTACATATCTAAGAAGCTCCACGACCTCCAGGAAGGAGAAACTCAAAAGAGTTTCACATATTATAATAGAAATTTTCAAAAGACAAAGACAAAGACAAAGAGAAGTTCTGAGAAACAGCTCATCACATACAAGGGATCACCAACAAAGTTAACAGCTGATTTTTTACCAGAAGTCATAGAGGTGAGAATGCAATGCACAAAGTACATTTAAAGTGCAGGGTCAGCGGCCGGGCATTTAGCTCAGTGGCATAGGGCCTGCCTGGCAAGTGTGAGGTCCTGAGCTTGGGTCCCAGTACCCAACCCCCCCAGAAAAGTGCAGGGTCCAAAAGACTTTCCAACAGAGAATTCTACATCCAACAAGAATATCCTTAAAACATCTGGAGGGGTATGGGGTTAATAATATCTCCTAGTTATTGCAGGCTGATTAGGTCCACAATCTCCTGAACAAGTGTACAATGAAGGCTAAATAGAGGCAAATGGAATGATTTCAGGGCTCCAGTAAGATCAAAGCCCTCTCATATAATTCTTAATTCTCTCACGGCTAAGACCAAGAACTTCTGGGTCACCCATATTTATTTGGTTATCAGAAGAAGGGAGGAGAGTACTCAAAAAGGGCAGAGCCACTCAAGGACTTCTCTAAGTAAGGTGTTAAATTAATCCACTGAAGAATGAGATGCCTGAGGCTATAGGCTTTATCTCGTTGAGATCTGATCCAGGTGTCCTTGGCTGTGATCCTGTCCTATCTTTTGAGGCTTTCTGGCTTCATCTGCCATTACAGGCTGTAGTAGGGATTAATGACTCACAGAGGTTCACTTACTATGAGTCCACCATTTTCAGATAAGGAGCCTAGGCCTTGGACAGATTCACAAGTGAACATGAAAAACCAATTGATTAATTTAAGTCCTGCTCAGGTCTGCCTTATAGTGGTCTCCATGGGGCAGGGAGCAGTGCATCCAGAGAATTCAACACTGGTAGACCAGCACCACCAAGGTATTAAAGGGAATTCTTTTGACTAAACTGAAAATACACTAGACCTTATGACAGTAACTTGAATCCTCATGAAGAAATAAAAAACACTAATAAAAATAGTTGTATAAATACATATACAAGGTAACATAATTGCATTTTTTGTATATAACTCTGTTTCTCCTATCTGATTTAGAAGATAACTACATAAAAGTAATTATAAATATGTATTAATAGACACAAAAACATACAAGAAATTATATGGCAATAACATTTGAAAGAGGAGGGAGGGAAATGGAGCTATACAAGAGAAAAAATTTTATACTGTTGAAATTTACTATTAATTTGAACTAGATGATGATAAATTGGGTTAATTGTAATTCCTAGAGCAGCCACTAAGGAAATAAGCAAAACTAAAAGTGTATGTAGTGAAAGGACAAGCAATTAAAACAGTACACTGAAACTGTCCATTCAACACAAAAGAAGGTAGTGAGAGACAAACAGAGAACAAAAACATATAACATATAGAAAACAAATAGCAAAACAGTAGATGTAAATCCAACATTATTTGTATCTATATTATATGTAAATTGATTGAATACTCCATCTGAAAAGCAGATACTGAAAGATTGAATAAAAACATGATTAAACTATATGCTGTCTAATAAGAAATAGATTCAAGTATAGAAGAAGGTGGAAAGTAAAAGGATGGAAAAAGATGTACTGTGTACTAGTAACCAAAAAAAAAAAAAAAAAGAGCTGGAGTGGTTATACTAATAACAGACCAAATAGATACAAGGGCAACAATTATTACTAGAGGAAAAGCATATTTTATAGTGATAAAAGGGTCAAAATATGAAGAATTATAAACATACATGTAATAATGAGAGCTCCAAAACACATGAAACAAAAATTCTCAAAATTGTAGGGAGAAATACATAAGTCAACAAGAGTTGAAGAATTAAAATCTGTCTTTCAACAATGGTAGAATAATTAGACAGAAAATCAACAAGGAAGTTGTCTCAATTACTTTTTTCTCATTGCTGGGACAAAATACCTGATTCCCAAAATTAAGGAAGGAAAGGTTTATTAAACTTACAGTTTGTGGAGGTTTCAGTCCATCCTGGGCTGATTCCAAGGCAGAGTAGCACATGGCAGAGGGCAAGCGTTCATGGTGACAGAACACAGCAAAACCAAGAGCAAAAGGGAGGAATGGTGGCAAGCAGCCTCTTTCCCTCCCTTACATTGTATGCAAACTATCCACCGCAGGGCAGTGTAGAACTCACACCCATGATCCCAGCACTGGATTGTGGATCAATCACAAATCTTAGAAGCCCGCCCCATGACTGCATGAGGATTTGAGGGGACGTGCAGACACAAACCATAACAGAAGCAGAAGACTTAAATAACACAAAAAGGCAATTAGACCAAATAAGCATCTATGGAAGCCTTCACCCAACAATAGCAGAATAAAAGTTCCTCTCCAGAGCACATGATAAATTTTCCAAATTTATCCATATTTTGGGTCACAAAACAAGTGCCCATAGGTTCAAAAGGGTTGAAATCACATAAATTATGTTTGCTGACCACAATGGAATGGAATTAGAGATCAATAACAGAAGGATGTTTGGGGAATTTACAAATATGTGGTAATTTAACAACACATTTTTAAATAACCAATGACACAAAAAAGAAACTTCCTTGAGATGAATGGGAAAAAACTCCACAACACAATAAAATAGATTGAATGCAACTAAAATAGTGGTTAAAGGGAAATGTAGCTGTAAACATCTATACTAACCATAAATGTGTGACTTCATATTGTTAGGTACTGATACATTCCAAATTAGTGAAACAATTCAATGCAATCTACACTGAAACTCTAGCTGTGGTTTTATAGCAGAAACTGAAAAACTGAACTTAAAATTCATATGGAAATTTGAGGTATTCACAATAGCCAAAACAATTTTGAAAAAATTGGGCTGGGGATACAGCTCAGGGGCACAAGCGGCTGCCTGGCAAGCACAAGGTCCTGAGTACAATTCCCAGTACAAAAAAAA